AATGAGAAATGGAGTTTTGTAAGTTTCGGGGTTAAAATAGCAGAAGTTTCAAAAATTACTCACAGGCGTCCAGAGGACAGAAATCATAATCGGAACAAAAACGGAAGCCGGGTTAAAGGAAAGCGCAAGGCAGCGGCAGCCAGCGGGACTGGGCTGGCCAGAACGCAAACGTGATCCACAACCAAAGAGGAAGCAGCTGCAGGCAGGGGGGCGGCAGGCGGCAGGGGCTGGGGCAGAGTGGGGGCCACAGTGGCGGGAGGCGAGGTCCACCCTCACCCAGGCCCCCCTTGGCTTGGGAAGGAGCCCAGTGGTGGGCAGGGTCAGAGGTCACAGTGGGGCGTGAGGACCCCGCCCAGAGTGGCCGTGGGGCGTGGGGGCCACCCTCCTCTCCTGGTCCCCCTGGCCCGGTCTGGGGGCAACTCCTGCCACACCCACCTGCCGGTGTGCCATGTGCTCGGGGCCCTCACTAGGCGACCGGGACCAGCGCTGGTCCCGGGCTCGGGCCCGGTGGTCAGGCCGCTCCTGGGCATAGCGCTCCTTGTCGGGGGGCGGGGGGTGGTGGTGGTGGTGGTGGTGATGGTGCTGCCGGTGCTTCCGGTCCTTGGGCCTGCCCCGCTCCTGGTCCCGCTCCTTTGACGGCAGGTCCCCCGACTGGGTGGTCATGCTCAGGTCTGTCCCCAAGCCTGGGCCGGGAGGGCGTCAGACAGACAGAAGGCCATGAGGTGGGCAGGACATGCACACAGGAGGCCACCAAGAGGGCCTGTGGGTCCTAAAAGCGGTGCTTTCCTCTGGCCCGGGGGCTTTGGGGGTCCAGTCCCCAGGCTCCCTCAGCCCAGCCGGGTGCCACCCAGCCCTCTTCTCTGTCTCCCCACCTCTACTTTCTCTTCCCCTCTCCCCTCCACAGCACCTTATAATAGCAATCCGGTCCTGTTTCCTGCCGAGGGACCTACCTGTATAAACATTAGTGTAGCGATACTAGCAAGGGACAGTGGGTCCAGTACCCTGTTAAGGGATATAGAGCAGCACCTAGTTCGGTTTAAAAGGTTTATGAGGGGGACGGCCAATGACATTATGTTGTCCTTTTAAGGGAGGTATCATATCTTGATGGGCCATGGATATAAGCTCTAAGTATGAGGCTAGGTTTCTCAACTTTTTTTTCATGTTGATTTAGACCAGGGAAAATGAGGGGAAGTTCAATGGGGCATAAAAGCAGTTGCAGTAATACTCCTCCACACCCTCAGGTGCCCGAGTACATCTCTCTCTAATGCCTTCAAGAGGTGGGTTTGGTACTGGATACATAGG